GTTCTTTATCTTGCTAACCCCCCCACCCCCTTTTACTGATTTTGGAATTAAGAGAGTATCATTTTTTTCTTTTCTTTTTTGGTTGGTCATGGGGCTTGAACTCTGGGCCTGGGTGCTGTCCCTCAGCTCTTCAGCTCAAGGTGAGTGTTCTACCATTTGAGCCACAGCACCACTTCTGGTTTAGGAGTGGTTTATTGGACATAAGAGTCTCATGGCCTTTCCTGCCCGGTCTGGCTTTGAACCATGATCCTCAGATCTCAGTCTCCTAAGTAGCTAGGATTACAGGTGTGAGCCACCGGCGCCTGGCAAGAGACTATTAATTTTTGTTGTTGCTTTGTGAGTGTGTGTGTGTGTGTGTGTGTGTGTGTAAAGGTATGTGTGTGTATTAGAATAATGTACCCTCATTTTCTATTCGTCCCAAAGATGCCCAGGCCCCAGTCTTAGAACTTGTACATATTGGAGGGCTTTGATGTGGAGAAGTGGTCCATACCGAATTGCAGGAGTATTTCAAGGAGGTTGAGTGAACCTTTCCTGACCATGGAACTGAGGACCCAGAGACGTGACTCCAGAGGCTCAGAGGAGGCAGGGATCCTGGGTGTGAAGGAAGGAGGAGGCCCTGGTGCCTCTTCAGAGCTCCTCGAAAAGAGAGCAGCATCGACGCTGTCGCTTTTGATTACTAGGCCAGTGGAATTCCTCGGACCTCCATTCACCGAGCTTTTGTATCTCCCACCTCCTGCTCCTCCTCCCTCTCCTCCCCCTCCCCCTCCCCTCCTCCTCCTCTTCCTCTTCCTCTTCCTCTTCCTTTTGGGAGACCATAGATGCTCATTCATCCTTTAGGTCTGGTCCTCCTCCTCCTCTTGTGAGACCATGCAGATGCTGTATCTTGGTTGGATTTGAGTGAGTGCTGTCACCATGTGAGCAGTTTGTGGGAGACTTAGCTGACAACTTGATTCTTAGTGTTTGTTAATAATTTCTAAGTTCTGGGATGGTGGTTGTCTCCTGAGTTTACTACACAAATGATTTAGCTTCAAAGTCATAACATTCATTGAGCACCTAACTGAGTCAGTCACAATGCTAACCACTTTACATGCGTATCCACATGTACTTCTCAGGAACTGTGATGCATAGGTATTTTGCCCCTTTTGTAGGCCAGCAAAATGAGGTGGGGGAGTTTAATCATAACTCTTAATTAGAGGGATTACCTTAGGAATCTTGGAGATGTAGCTTGTAATACGCAGAATATTGTGTATTGGTTTGCATTGATGACTGTGTGGAAAATATTTATACCAGTGTCTGAAGTTACTAATAGCAAAGCAATTTAGACTTTTCTCTGTGTGTGTGTGCGTGCATGTGTGTGCGTGTGCCTGTGTGTGTCTGTACATACTGGGGCTTGAACTTGGCTTTATGCCATTTATTAGCTTTTTACCCCCTCAAGACCTGGTGCTCTACCACTTGAGCCACTCTCCACTTCTAGCTCCTTGCTGGTTAATTGCAGGTGAGAATCTCAGATTGATCTCTGCTTGCTGGGTTCTAACCTTGATCCTCAGGTCTCAGTCTCTCTCAGCTATGATTACAGACATGGGCTGCTATTATAGGCATGAACCACTGGTTCTGGCTAGACTTATGTCTTTGTAATCAGACTCAGTCCTTCATTTCCTTACCAGTCAGATAAAGAAATGCCTACTTTGCTGGGGCCAATCCAGCAGTGTTCTTCCCGAGAAGAGCATTGCCTATTTCCTCATCTGTTGAAGTAGAATACTGATGTTAAGGCTGTGTTTCTTCCTCTCTTCTGCTGATGCTCCATCACCTTTGAAACCTGGTATCCTAAGTACAATATTTGTGGGTCATGCTTCCTCCATGGGGTGTATTCTGTTAAAACTTACATCAAGTAAGAATACTGAGCCAAGCGTGCCAGCTCATGCTTGCGATCCCAGTACTCAGGAAGCTGAAACAGGAGGATCCCAACTTCCAGGTCAACCTGGGCTGCATAGCAAGACTGTCTCAAAACAAAAGTGAACATTAGTCATCTTCTATATTCCCATTAGGTGTTACTTACACTTTTGGTCTCTACTTTCCATTTTGTTTATATATGTGACATATTAATGCCTGAAAGTTGAGTGACTAGATAATAAGTTGTCATATGGTTACCTTCTAAATAACCGTATTAGCATTTGGATAGTCATTGTTTGCTTCAAATATCTTGTGGCTAGGAAAGATATTTTGCCATTGTGAACAACTCTCAATGGAAAGAAATAGTATATAAATTCTTGCAGTACAGAACTCACCTTACAGGATTTAAGGATCTTTTATGTGTGAGGAAGCTGTTTTGTCTGTTGTAGCTAGAACTAGAGAGCAGGTAGTGTTACCTTTGTCACTTGTTTTGTTGATGGCTTTCGTAGCCTGGAGGTTTTCTTTTTTTGTTTTTGTTCTTTTGGATCCCTTTGTGGGGCCTGAACTCTGGGCCTTGGCGCTGTCCCTCAGCTCTTCAGCTCAAGGCTAGCACTCTACCACTTGAGCCACAGTGCCACTTCCGGCTTTTTTCTTTTTGCTTATGTGGTGCTGAGGAATCGAACCCAGGGCCTCATGCATGCAAGGCAAGCACTCTACCACTGAACCACCTTCCCAGCCCCTAGCTTAGAGGTTTTCTGTTATGTTTTCTATTAGTTTTCTGTCACTGGTGGGATAAATCACTACCAACCTAGTACTTTAAAATGATAGAAATTTGTATTATGATAGTTTTGCGTAAAATCAAAGTGTTGGCTAGATATATTACAGAAAGGAGAAAAAGATGAAGGAAATAATTTATTAAGAAATATTAACAATTTAGCCAGGGTGTTGTAGATGAATTGGAAATATACCCAGATCTAGGAAACTCATCTGAGGAAGAGTCAACCAATGAAAGTCAGCTTGTCTGTTTCCTGTAAGTTGGTGGTTCAGGGAAATAAATCATTGATGACATTAAATTGTGATTGAAGGTGTGCTCCATCCTCACCGAACATAGTACATACATAGCCTTAAAACTCACGTTTGAGATTAAGAATTTTTAGTCTTGAGAACAGTTTGCTCTGTAATCATGTGTAGATAGTTCCTATTATTAGATTTGTCAAGGTAACATTCGCTTTGTAGTTCAGTATAATAACAGTATCCTACAAAGTAATCATAAAATTATATTATTAGGAGAGCAAAAATCTGTGAAGTAAGCAGGTTTGCTTGTGTGGCTAAGGCCCACGGTCTAGGCCATGCATGGTGTCTGTGAAGGAAGCAGGTTTGCTTGTGTGGCTAAGGCCCACGTTCTAGGCCATGCATGGTGTCCTGCTGCTGTGCCACCACATAGTGGAGGACAAGGTGGCCTTTTGGGTTCTCTTACAAGGTCACTAACCCAACCATGTGATTTTTCTTATGAAGCCATAAGAAAAGCCATATTTCCTAAAGACTCTTACTTGGGCAGTAAGGATTTCAGTAACTTTTGACACAAACACTTGGACTGTAACAATAGATGTATGTATTCTAGAATTTTTTTTTTTAAAAGGAATGGAGCTGTGGCTCAAAGTGATAGAGCACTAGACTTGAGCAAAAGAGCTCAGGGATAGTGCCCCAGCCTTGAGTTCAAGCCCCATGACCAAAAAAAAAAATTTTTTTTTTGAATTTAAGATCAATTCCTGTTATTGCATGTAAAGTATACCTCAGTAAATTACACATACTAAAATTTTAAACCACTAGGAAGGCTCTCAGACAAGCATGGTGACAAGAACCAAGTTAAAAGATTTTAAACAAGTTAAAACACATCAGGAGGCCCCGAACTGTTCCGTAGGGCCTCAGGTGATACTCGTACCCTGAGGAGTTTAAGTTATATTCAGCACAATTTCTTAAGAGGGCAGCACAGTGTACTACTCTTAGGGCCTTATTACAAATTGTTTAAAGTGCTTAGGTGTCAGACATGTAGAACATTTAAAACATTAAACACATAGCTTAGGTTCTATGTTAAGAATCATTGTCAATACTGGGAAGTGATTTGCAAACAAAGTGAGAAATTGGCTTTTGTAAATATTTTTATTATAATAAAGGTAATATGGGGGGGTTACAGTTACCTAAGTCAGATAAAAAGTAACATTTCTTTTTGGACAGTGTTACCCCTTCCCTCACTGTCTCCCAGTTTTTCCCTCATGTCCCCACCCACAAGTTGTATCGTTCATTTTCAACATAGTGTCTAGTGAGTACCACTTTTGAATTTGAATATTGTCTAAGCCTGGGCGCTGGTGGCTCACACCTATAATCCTAGCTGCTCAGAAGACGGAGATGTGTGGATTGCAGTTCAAACCCAGCCCAGCCAGGAAAGTGTGAGATTCCTATCTTTCGTTAACTACCCAGGAAAAGGCTGAAGTGGAGCTGTGTCTCAGGTGTTAGAGCTCTACCCTTGAGCACAAAAGCTTAGTGGCAGTGCCACAGGACCTGAGTTCAAGTCTCAGGTCCGGCACCAAAAGAAGTCTGCCAAAAGAAGGTATGAAAAGATCCTGCAGGTCCATTTGTGATTGATAAACATTTGTTTTCATATATTTTATGTAAATAATTTAGGCTTCCAGTTGCTACAAGAAATAAAAAATGTGGACTATGAGCTTAAGCGCGTTTTGTTTATAATGTACCCTATGGCTTTTGTAAATTTAAATACAGCTTTGATTTGTCTGGTTATGATGCTGCAACAGATGGACATATGGACAAGTTTGATGGGGACCTACATCGTTTTGGTGCTACTCCCCTAGGTCCTTGTTCAGATCGGATGTGTGTTGCCTGTGGAGGTGATGGGCTGAAGCTAGGTTCTGACATCTTCTGTTACTAGGTCATCGTGAACGGCTAACGAAGTAAAGCCGGGTGAGGACTGTTGTGGAGGGAGGGCATAGAGGCACCAGTCTACACAGCCTTTGTTTTCTCAAGGGGGACTGGCCACGCGTCTGGTTTGTGTCTGTGAAGAGCTGACTCGAGTCTCTGCGTCTTTCCAGCAATAGTTACGCACGTGTGCGAGCTGTGGTGATGACCCGGGATGACTCAAGCGGCGGGTGGCTGCCACTCGGAGGGAGCGGGCTGAGCAGCGTCACTGTCTTCAGAGCCCCCCGTCCCGAGGAGAACGGCTGCGCCGGCCTCTTCATCCGGGGAGAGCGACTCAGGGACAAAATGGTAATGAACTACTAAGTGCTGAAAGTTGAAAGTTATGTTGACTGAGTTATCGCTGAGAATTACTTTTGCCGATGACTCTCTAGTTACCGTTTGGCAGCTGTTAAAGACAGTTTTTCTGGAGCTGATGTTAATGTACACTTGTGCCGAATGCTGCTTTTCGGTTTAGGGTAAATAAAGAAATGTGTATGACCAGTTGCACCCTGCTTCCCTTTCTCCCAATTTTCCTAAAGGACCAGAGGTTGTCAGACTAGTCTGTGATCAGATTTTGTCCATCTGTCTCTGTCTCCCTCTCTCCCTCTGTCTCTCTGTCTCTCTCTTCCCCTCCCCCCCCCTCCGATCTCAACCTCAGGAGTAGCTATGATTAAAGGCACCAGTCACTAGTGCCCAGCAGTTTCTTTGATTTTTATAAAACTATTCTCTTTCATCTTAGCCAAGTTTGAGTAATCTGTGATTTCAAATTGTTGCTTCATTTCTTTGAAATTTTTAAATTTATGAACATAAAGTTCTTAACCTTTGTTTAAGTGAAGGAAGTTTCTCATTTGTTGCATTCCTTTGTGTGAGCATGGTTTCGTTATCTCAGCATTTTCTGCTTGTGCCATGGGTTATTATACCAGCCAGGCAGACGCATCTGTGATGAGACCCTTATCTCCATTTAACCAGAAAAAAGCCGAAAGTGGAGGAGTTTCTTGATGGCAAAGTGCCAGCCTTGAGTGGAAAAGGCTAGGGGGAGAGCTTAAGGCTCTGAGTAGCCTGTGCGGGTGCGCACACACGCACGTGCCCACACACATGTGCCCCCCCCACACATACACACACACGCACTCATATTCCTGCCTGTGCAGAGAATCTCTCCATACATAATGGCTGCCCACCTCCTAACGGGAGACGATACCAGTAAAGATACCAGTAAAAATTTTTTCAGTTTATTTTTAGTTACCAACCATACTACTTTTTAGCACCATTTGCAAATGTTTAATTATTAACTACATGTAAAGGGAACTATAATAAGATACCTATTAGGTTAAAATTGTATATTTAATTTTATTCCCTCAAATTATTAGTAAAACAACAGAACAATAATGTACTTCACGACTTGTTTGGTCTGTTTTAAAGGCTTTGGGCAAACATTATGGTAATTTTATGATGAGAATTTTGCTCTGTAATTCTCAAGATAATTAGAACATATTTTAAGATTTAGTTGTTTAATGATCATAGTTTTCTTGCTTTTTTTTCTCCCTCTAAATTATGACTCCAAAATTAGTTTTAGATAAAGGAAAAATGCTGGAGTTGAAGCTTTTTTTTTTTTGTCGGTTGTGGGTCTTGAACTCTGGGCCTGGGTGCGGTCCCAGCTCTTCAACTCCAGGCGAGTGCTCTACCACTTGGGCCACAGAGCCACTTATAGTTTTCTGGTAGTTAGATCTGGCTTTGAACCGTGATCCTCATATTTCAGCCTCCTGAGTAGCTAGGATTTACAGGTGTGCATGAGCCACTAGTGCCTGGCCTTGGTGGGTTTTTTTTTTTTTTTTTTAAATCAAATGAAAGTCTTCACAATAAACCTTTGAGTCTTGGGAGTCTGAATTTATCATCCAAGCTCCTCCTCTTCCTGCCTGTGCAGAGAATCTCTCCATACATAATGGCTGCCCACCTCCTAACGGGAGACGATGTGGCACCAGCCACTGGCATTGCCATCATTTGTGGTGTTCATTGATGGTTTACCTTTATTTGATTATAAGTGTGTATGTGTATGTGTGGTATACATGTGTATACATGCACATGTGCACACGCATGCCAGTCCTAGGGCTTGAACTCAGGGCCTGAACACTGTCTTTTATAGCTTTTTGTGGTTGTTGTTCAAGGCCAATGGTCTGCCACTTGAGCCACAGCTCTATTTTGGCTCTTTGGTGGTTAATTGGAGATAAGAGTCTCACAGACTTTACTGTCTAGGATGGCTTCAAACCATGATCCTCATATCTCAGCCTCCTGAGTAGCTAGGATTACAAGTGTGGAAGAGTTTTGGGGGGAAGCAGGGAATGAGGAAATAAAATGTTTATTACCGGATTCCCCTCCCCCCTCTATTTTTCTTAGAAATATTGTGTGTAGTAGAAGTGTGCATTTTTGAAATGACAATGTGATAAACATTATGTTCACAACTTGCATGTGACCACATCTTAAATCATTTTAATGTGTGGCATTGTGAAGTAGATTAAGACTTTTGAATTAATAAATTTATTTTTTAAATACTCATTGCTATTTTTATTAGATGATTTTGATTTATGTATATTAACTTCAGCATTTGACTTTTGGCAGGTGGTTTTGGAATGTATGCTTAAAAAAGACCTCATTTATAATAAGGTCACTCCCACATTTCACCACTGGAAGATCGATGACAAGAAGTTCGGCCTCACCTTTCAAAGTCCTGCTGATGCTAGGGCTTTTGATAGAGGCATTCGGAGAGCTATAGAGGATATTTCTCAAGGTAGGAGTTTTCAAAAATACTTTTTGAAGGGCTAGGAATGTGGTTTAGTGGTAGAGTGTTTGCCTAGCCTGCACAAAGCCCTGGGTTCAATTCCTCAGTACCACATAAACAGAAAAGGCTGGAAGCGGCACTTTGGCTGAAGTGGTAGCGTGCCAGCCTTGAGCAAAAGAGGCTTAGGGACAGCGTCCAGGCCCCAAGTTCAAGCCCCAGGACTGCCAAAAATAAATAAATAAAATGTTTGAATAGTCTTACATATATAGATACATTAATATATATGCATGTTAATTAAAAACTACCTGTCTTAAATGTTGACCCACTGCAATTTTAAAAAGTCAGCCTTGGTGTTAGTGGCCAGACTTCGAAAGCTCACAGTGAGTAAAGCTAAAGTTGTGAGCTCTTAGCCCACTTTGAATTTCTCAAATCACAGTCAGTCTACACCGCTTGCATGTGTCCTCATGAAGCATCTGCCAGGAACCTGCCACTGAGTGGCTCAGAGTCTGAAGCAGAGGGAACATGAAGGAGCGCTGTCGAGTCCCAGTGAGGCGTGTGCTGTTACATCAGTCCCGCCGCCCCCGCCTCCTCTTCCTCCTCCAGGATTAGACAGAAACTTAGAATGTGCAAATTGCGTGGACACTGCCTATTCACTGACAAAACTACTTGTTCACCTGTTCCTTTATAAATCTGACCAATCCTAAGGCATCTAGAGTCTAGATGGAGGAAGTTTATTTTCAGGTAAGACAGGCCTAATGCTTATTTAGGCAAAAAGAAATAATCAATTTCTTTTTTGGGGGGCGGGGGGGTTCGGACATGGGGCCTGAACTCTGGGCCTGGGCGCTGTCCCTCAGCTCTTCAGCTCAAGGCTAGCGCTCTACCACTTGAGCCACAGCACCACTTCCCGTTTTCTGGTGGTTTATTGGAGATAGGAGTCTCACGGTCTTTCCTGCCCGGGCTGGCTTTGAACCCCGATCCTCAGGTCTCAGCCTCCTGAGTAGCTAGGATTACAGGCGTGAGCCACCAGTGCCCGGCAGAAATCACTATTTCTATAAAGGGAGAAACAGCTGAGCTTTGATTTCTTTCTAATGAAGAAAGTATGTTTATATAAGTAGCACTAACTTTATATATAAAGTAACCGAGTCAAGGTTTGTTAGCCAGGCATGGTGGTGCTTATCCTAGTATTTGGGAGATTAAGGCAGATAGATTGTGAATTTGAGGTCCACCCAGGCTCCATATGAGACCCTGTGAAGAAAGAAGGGAAGGAGGAAGGCAGCAAAGTTGAGTGAGATGCATTATGCTTTATTTTTCCAGATCGCATTTTATAGGAAAATTAAAAAATGAACAACTTGTAAAATAAATCATAGTTAAAAATGTGGAAATGCTTAGTACAAATGTTTTGATAGTACATGAAACTGCTGAATAATTTCTTTTAGCTACTTTGTTTTTTTGTTTTTATTTTTGTTGGTCGTGGGGCTTTTAGCTACTTTGTAAGCGCAGTATTTGGTAAACAAGCGGTCTTTGGTTTTTAACTTGGGAGATTTTTCACAAAATGTCACGAGGAGGAACAGTCTCTTTAGTGAGGCTCCTGTGGAGGTGTCTGGCCGGAGGCTGTGGAGGTGGAGGGACTGCCCTGCCCTGCCCCACACCAGGCATCCACACCTTCCAAAAGCTCCAAGGAAGTCCAGAAGCGGTAGAGAATTGTAGTATGCTCAAACGATTAAATTAACTTGAATTTGAAAAAAAAAATTGATAGACAAATGGACATGAATCCTAGGGGTTATGTGTATGTGTGCATACTATAATACTGGGGCTTGAAGTCAGGGCCTTGTACTCTTGCTTGACTTTTTCACTTAAGACTGGTACCACTGGGCTGGGAAGGTGGCTCAGTGGTAGAGCGCTTGCCTTGCATGCCTGAGGCCCTGGGTTCCATTTCTCAGCACCACAAGCAAAAAGAAAAAAGCCGGAAGTGGCGCTGTGGCTCAAGTGGTAGAATGTTAGCCTTGAGCTGAAGAGCTGAGGGACAGTGCCCAGGCCCAGAGGTCAGGCCTCACACCGACAAAAAAAAACCCAAAAATTGGTACCACTTACCACAGCTACACTTTAGCCTTTTTGCTGGTTAACTGGAGATAAAGTCTCTTGAATTGTCTACTTTGAACCTTGATCCTCAGATCTCAGCCTGTTGAGTAGAATTATAGATGTAAGCTACTAGCGCCTGGCTTGAATCCTAAGATTCTTGAGCAGTGGTTCTGGTATAGGAACCTTGGCTGATGCCCTGTGCCTCACTTTCACAAGATGTTGAGGAATATTAAAATCTAAGGCCTAAAATTTGTGTGCTTAACTTTGATCTGTTTCCTAGGGTGCCCACCATCGAAAAACGAAACTGAAGGGACAGAAGATGACTTACAAGTAAGTAGTGTGGCTTGAGAGGAATTTCTAAACAGGACGCATCTCGGGAAGTCATTAGGCTTCATAAATAAACAACTTGTAAACTGAGGAATTAGATTACAGGCTGAGGAGCTGCACTCTGCGGGGCAGGCCGAGGGGACGCGGCAGTGCCATTCCAGCAGCCCTCAGCTTTGCTCAGAAGGCCGAGGGACACCTCCCTCACTCCACGTGTGCTGCAGTAAAGGAGCGGCACATCTGGAACACAGCTCCAGCTACCTCTGGGGGCACTTGATGGTGCAGGGCACCACACTTCCAAGGCAGAATGAAGTTAACCCCAGGAACACCATTTCCCAGGGGGAATAAAAGGGAAGGTCACAGAAGAGGAAGGCAACATGCTGATAAGCATGTGGACACCTTTGCATTTAGTTCACTGGTGACCCACAGGCTGTATAAATCAAGGTAAACTAGTAGTTTTAGTTACCACATGATCAAAGATTTTTAAAATGCTTCTTGTCCATGCTGTGTCTATCTGAAAATGACAGATTGATGCCCTGCTGAGAAAATGCAAATTAGTATATATTTGTCTGCAAAGCAGTTGTCACCATGTATTTTTTTTTAAAAAAACCATATGGAGGGGGCTGGGAAGGTGGCTCAGTGGTAGAGCGCTTCCCTTGCATGCCTGAGGCCCTGGGTTCAATTCCTCAGCACCACATAAAAAAAGAAAGAAAAAAGCCGGAAGTGGCACTGTGGCTCAAGTGGTAGAGCGCTAGCCTTGAGCTGAAGAGCTGAGGGACAGCGCCCAGGCCCAGAGTTCAGGCCCCATGACCAGACCCCCCAAAAAAACCAAAAAACCATATGGAAACATTCACTGCCTGTTGACCTAGTGAATTTGTAGTGGTATATATCAGAGACAGAGATATTTGAAAATATTTATGTGTGGATTTGGTGTATATTTATGTGTGTATATATTATTGGATTAAAGATAAGGAACTTCATAAACTAGCTAAGAGCAGGATAACAGGGATAGTTTTAAAACATACCCCTGTTAGGCAACCATTGAAAAATGCATTGTTTACAAATGTGCTTGTCATATACTGAGCAGTACTTGTAAAACAAAAATGGTTTGGTGGTTTCCTCATAATCTGTTTCCTCCTATACACAAACATGTAAATATATAGCTATATTTTCTATATCCTTAAATACTCATATCTTTGCACTTTTTTTTTTTTTGGTCGGTCATGGGGCCTGCATGCTGGGCCTGGGCACTGTCCCTCAGCTCTTCAGCTCAAGGCATAGTGCTCTATCACTAGAACCACAGTACCACTTCTGGGTTTTTCTCCTTATGTGGTGCTGAGGAATCGAACCCAGGGCCTCATGCATCAAGGCAAGCACTCTACCACTGAGCCACCTTCCCAGCTCCTCTTTGCACTTTTTAAAATTGTTTTTGTTTCGTTTTGTTTTTGTAGTACTGGGGTTTAAATTCAGTACTTCTCAGTTTCTAGGTAGGCTGGTATTCTACTACTTGCACCAGCCCTCCAGCCCTGCTTCTTGCTCTAGTTATTTGGAGATAAGTCTAAAGAACTTCTGTCTAGACTGGCCTTACATCACAGTCATGCAGGTCTCAGCCTTTTGAGTAGCTAGGATTACAGGTGTGAGCCACCGTGCTGGATCACATTGGCAATTCTTTCAGTTGTTCTTTGGTTAAAATTCAGTTTGTAAAGAGTTTTGTATACTGTGAATAGTCACTCCTTATTTGGTAGTGTTTCATTTTGCTAGTCTTCTGGTTTGATTTTACTTAATTTTCATAAATAACAGCAGGACAAAGATACAGGATATAATTGCTTGCAAGGCTTTTCATGGAATGGGTCAGCTGACCTTATAATATCAGACAGGGAAGGGAAGAGAAGAAAGAAGACCGAGGCCAGATTTAGTGGCTTACAACCATTCTTCTAATATAGTAGAAGGATCTTTTTTTTTTGTTGGCCAGTCATGGGGCCTGAACTCTGGGCCTGGGCGCTGTCCTTCAGCTCTTCAGCTCAAGGCTAGCGCTCTACCACATGAGCCACAGTGCCACTTCTGGCTTTTTTTATGTGGTGCTAAGGAATCGAACCCAGGGCCTCATGCATGCAAGGCAAGCGCTCTACCACTGAGCTACCTTCCCATTCCAGTAGAAGGATCTTGAGTTCAAGGTCCTAAGCTACATACAACCTGGGATGCATTAGCTAGACTCCGTCTCCAAAGAATAAAACAGGAAGGAAGAAAAATCTAAGCAAACCCAGTACAGTGATGTAACCCAGTGTTTGATTGTGGTGACTTGGGTTATTCTAGTTATAGTAGGTAAATTCAGCAGTAACACTTTATTTTAAGAATCAAGCTGGGTGCCGGTGGCTCATGCCTGTAATCTTAGCTACTCAGGAGGCTGAGATCTGAGAATAGAGATTTAAAACCAGCCCGGGCAGGAAAGTCCATGAGACTCTTATCTCCAATATACCATTAGAAAACAGGAAGTGATGCTGTGGCTCAAGCAGTAGAGTGCTCGCCTTGAGCTGAAGAGCTGAGGGACAGCGCCCAGGCCCAGAGTTCAAGCACCATGACCCACCAAAAAAAAAAAAAGAATAGTGCTAAAAGCAATCTTAATAAAATGCATGAGAACTTTTGAAAACATTTACTTTGTTACTAACCATTTTAAGCATCTAAAAGCAGTGTTTTTCGGGGAGCTGTCACTGGGGTTTGAATGAGGGCTCACATACCCTCGGCAGGTGCTGCATTACTTGAGCCATGCCCTATCTCTTTCCATCTTAGTTATCTTTTAGGGTCTTGTTTTGTTGTTGTTATCGGGCTGGCCTTGTACTGAGATCTTCCTTTCTCCAAGTCCTTGTTGCTAGGATTACAGGTACATATCAACACTCCTGAAATTATTTGTTGAGATAGCTATGTGGCTTAGTGACCTTCCATTTCTTCCTAAGTTATTTTCAACATGGAAGTCAATTCTGCTTATAAAGTTAGTTTTCTGTCTTCCCTGCTGTTTTCTGTTGGCATGGTTCCCTAGTCATGTACACTTGAGCTTAGGGATTGTTATTTATGGTGTCACTGGTGATGATGTATACTTGCTAAACATTCAGGTAGGAGTGTGTGTGTGTGTGTGTGTGTGTGTGTGTGTGTGTGTGTACATGAACTCAGGGCCAGGACACTGTGTGTGTGTGTACATGAACTCAGGGCCAGGACACTGTGTGTGTGTGTGTGTGTGTCTGTGTGTGTACATGAACTCAGGGCCAGGACACTGTCTCCCAGCCTTTTGCTCAAGGCTAATGCTCTACCACTTGAGTTGCAGCTCCACTTCCAGTTTTTTTTAACTAAGAGTCTCACAGACTTTGCTGCCTAGGTTATAGACATTGATGCCCCCTTAAGTAGCTTATTTTGTTGGACTTTTTGTCTGATAAGTAATTAAAGTTGATGGTTGTTTCCATTAGGCAACTGAAGAAGACACTTGTAGTTCTCTGGTGAAAGATCACCTTTTTCCACAAGAGACGGTTGTCACCAGTGACCCCTACAGAAGCTCCAGTGTGAGACCGTCTCCCCTTGAAGACCTGAGCGCCAGGAGGGCGTACTTGCAAAGCCAAGGCAGTCAGGTGAGAAGGTGTTTCCACCAGTGGCCGCATGTGGGACTGCATACGCTAGAGGAAGGCGTTGCACCCTCTCCCCTTTGCCAAATCAAAGAAACGGCCACAGACAGCAAGGACGCTGGGAGAAAGTGATTGTCAGGGGTCGAATCCAGAGTGTGGCAACAGAGGAGGACCATGAACGCCTGTGTGGCCGCACCGCGCAGACCTTAAATTTGACTTGAAATTTTATGGTGGCAAAGCCATAAATGGGAAATGCACTTGGCAACATTTTCATCATTTAAGGGTGTATCAGGGAAAGCTAGACTTTTTTTTTTTTTAAGAAAAACACATGTCATTACCAAATTGAATCATTTAGGTACAGATGCTAAAACCTTCATGCCACACAAAGAATATAGGTAATATTCCACATTTTAGTTATCTGGTCAAAGTAGTAGATGTCATTATGGTTTGTTTTTTGTTTTTTGTATTTTCCATTGTGGGGCTTGAACTCTAGGCCTGGGTGCTGTCTCTTAGCTCATCAGATCAAGGCTAGCATTCTACCTTTTGAGTACCACTTCCAGTTTTCTAGTGGTTTTATTGGACATAAGAGTCTCGAGGCCTTTCCTGCCTGGCTGGTTTTGAACCATGATCCTCAGATCTCAGCCTCCTGAGTAGCTAGGATGACAGGCATGCGCCACCAGCACCTGCTTCCTTAGGGTTTTTTAAAAGGTGTAATTCACATATCCATACACACGTATACTGGGTAGCCCCGTCTGTGTTAGCTCTGTGATCCTCTGGTCTCAAATCCTGGAGGCCACCACACAGCACCAGGATCACCTTCTTAGAACTGACTTGGGGATCTTGCAGATGTCCTCACTATTGCATTCCAGAGCATTTTCATCACTCCCTGTATACTGCAAGTACCAGTGGCCTCACACCCGCCCACGGCCACTGAGCCACCCTGTCCATGCTCCCTCCTCTTTGTGGTTGAAGAATATTCTGTTAGCCCTGTATGGAAGGTTTTCTTCCTGATTACTACATTTCATTTATAAAATCATAGGTACTTGGATTGCTTCTACTGTCTTGGCTGCATAATACTTGGTAAATCTTAAGTGTTTAAGATCTATCTAAATTATTTCTTTCCCCGAAAAATAAAATGAGGGAGGAAATGACTCCATGCTTTTTTCTTTTTTGGGTCCAGTCGTGGGGCTTGAACTCTGGGCCTGGGCGCTGTCCCTCAGCTCTTCAGCTCAAAATAAGCACTCTACCACTTGAGCCACAGCACCACTTTTGGTTTTCTGGTGGTTAATTGCAGATGAGAGTCTCACAGACTTTCCTTCACAATCAGTAGATAGGTACTGAAGTTTTAGAATGTGCACCTCGTATGATTAAAAGTAAGAAATTCAGTATATGTCACTTAATGTAGACATTGTTTATATTTTAGATAACATTCGGCCAACCAGGACTAGATATTCAGAGCAGAAGTATGGAATATGTACAACGGCAAATATCTAAGGAATGTGGAAGCCTTAAGTCCCAGAACAGGGTAAGTAACACTGATTTGTCTTCCAATACGGAATGTAGTTCATCAACACAGAGGTGAAGATTTCCAAACATGCAATTGTCCATATAGTTGAACAATACTAGTACTCTCTCTCTCTCTCTCTCTCTATATATATATATATATATAATTTTTTTTTTTTTTTGCTGAACATAATACTTTTAAACCATGTTACTTAAACTCCATCTAACTTCTTTGTGGGCTTTGTTTTGTTTTTTGTCCAGTCCTGGGCTTGAACTCTGGGTCTGGGTGCTGTTTTTACTCCTGAGCTCCTTTTACTCTAGGCTAGCGTTCTGCCCCTTGAGCCACAGCACCACTTCCAGCTTTTTCTGTTTTCTGTGCTTAGAGATAAGCATCTCACAGACTTTCCTGCTCAGGCCAGCTTTGACCTGCACTCCTCCAATCTCAGCCTCCTGAGTAGCTGTGATTACTGCGTGAGCCAGGATTACAGGTGTGAGCTACTGGTGCCTGGCTCCATTTAACTTCTTTTTGAAGTCTGTATTTATCACTAGATATAATCGAAGGGAATGTCTATTGTTATTCATTCCTGGACTCCATCCATTTGCCCATGCCCCAGACCTGGCCTTTAAGCCCCATTCCAGTGCCACATTCATGTATTAAGGCGCCAATTATAGTGGCATTCTTCTTCTTGGCACCAAACTGTGTATTTGTCCTAATTCTCTGGAGAAACAGAACCTATAAGTTGCATAGAAAAGAGTTCTTCTATTTTAATGTTTTTGTTGTTTGTTTGCTGGTCGTGGGGCTTGAACTCAAGGCCTGGGTGGTGCTGTCCCTGAGCTCTTCAGCTCAAGGGAAGCACTCTATCACTTTGAGACACAGCACCACTACCAGTTTTCTAATGGTTAATTGGAGATAAGAGTTTCACTGAATTTACTGCCATGGCTGACTTTGAACCATCATCCTCAGCTCCTAGCCTCCTGAATAGCTAGGATTACAGGTGTGAGCCACCAGCGCCTGGCTTATTTTAATTCTTAGGAGCAGAATTTATGGACCAAAAAGTGTAGTAGACTAAAAATAAATCTGATGATCCTCCAAAAATATTTAGCTTGGAGGAATCCTTGAAGTCCATAAATGTGCTAATGTAGTAAATTAAGGATCTTTAGATAGAATTACTTTGGACTACCCAGGTGTACAAAACGTGTAATCACTCTGGTGAGAGGGGAGCAGGGTGTTGGTGTTAGGAGATGTGACTACAGAAACAAGGGGTCGGTTTGTGCAAGGAAGGAAACAGGACCCAACACGTGCAGTCCTGTCCCGAGACTGGACAAGGCAGGGGAAAGGGGTGCTCCCTGTACACGGCCTCCAGAAGAAAGCAGCTCTCTTCCACCTGGACCTGAGCCATGTGAAGCAAAAGTGTTCTTAGGAGTTGGCCGTGCCATAGCAGAGTGTAAATCCAGAATCTGCAGGGTAAGCCTTGAGCCTGGGCCTCCAGACTCATGCCCACGGGCAGAGCTCTGTCTTGTTCTGGGGTGATCACTTGGATCAGGTCCACCATGGAAGGTTCTGTGCTTCTTCTCATAGCCCTGAGCTAACATGTTAGTCTCACCCCCAAATACAAAATCATCCCAAAGACTCTGAAAAAATCACCTGAGCAGTGTCCCTCTGCCAGATAGACACGTAGAACTCACCGTCATAGTTGTCTGTGTGGATGTTTACTGGAGTTTCATCACTTTGCTTTTTAGGTTCCTTTGAAATCAATCAGACATGTCAGCTTTCAAGATGAGGATGAGATTGTGAGAATAAACCCTCGAGATATCTTAATCCGTCGGTATGCGGACTACAGGCACCCTGACATGTGGAAAAGTGACCTGGAGAGAGACGATGCCGAGGCCAATGTGCAGTTTTCTAAGCCAGACAGTAAAAAAACAGACTATCTCTACTCTTGTGGGGATGAGACTAAGTTAAATTCACTCAAAGACTCTGTGGTATTTAAGACACAGCCTTCCTCATTAAAATTTAAGAAGTCAAAGCGAAGGAAAGAGGACGGTGAGCGTTCTCGCTGCGTCTACTGCCAGGAAAGGTTTAATCATGAAGAGAACAGCAGGGGGGGCTGCCAGGATGCTCCGGATCCCGTAAAGAGATGCATCTATCAAGTCAGCTGCATGCTCTGTGCAGAGAGCATGCTATACCACTGTATGTCAGACTCGGAGGGAGATTTTTCTGACCCCTGCTCGTGTGACATGAGCGATGACAAGTTCTGCTGGCGATGGTTAGCCCTGGTAGCGCTGTCCTTCCTTGTCCCCTGTATGTGCTGCTATGTCCCTCTGAGAATGTGCCATCGCTGTGGTGAGGCGTGTGGCTGCTGTGGTGGCAAGCACAAGGCTGCTGGATGAAGCGAGCCTGGGCCCGGCTGAGCTTAAAATCTTTGTTTCCAGGAATTAGCTTACTTGGATTTGGGAAGCTTTCGGCAAGCACCATGCACACTTGCCTGGCGTCCGTGGGCCGCTCGCGGGGAAGCGGAACTCGTCGGTTCTCGGTATTTTACAGACACTGGCCGTGCCTAACTTTCCCTTTGGGCGCATGGCTTGTTTTGTTACAGGTGCAGAGTATTTGCTGAAGGAAAACATTTCTGGTTATTGGCTACTAAAAAGTCAGCATAAAATATGATCCGACTAAAAGGGATTGCTTTTTGGCATTTTTGTGTATTTATGCATTAGGTGACAGAACTTGTAAAGGTTCGAATTCATTAGGACACAAACTAAACAGTGCTAGAGACAGTTGATTTCATCTAAGAAAAGTTAACACTTGGAAATTACAAGAAGTTAAACAAGTGCAACTAAATCATTCGTTGTTTTTTGAGAGCAGGTTTATGTATAAAATAACAAATGTTTATATTTAACTAAATGTAAGGTACGAATTATTACATATTAAACTTTTCTTGCCCTTCCTAGTTCTGGAGTAGATACATATCTACTGTCACATTCCATATATTTTGAATATTTAACTCATTTAGTTAATAACATTTTTATTCCATATAAAGGATTGGATATTTTCATCATTTCTCTTTGGCTACAATTTATATTGAGTTATATCTGTACATTCTGGTAATCTAAAATCCTTAAACATATTCTCATCGCCTTGAGTGACCAACTTTTTTTTAAAGCACAGATGTAATTGTCTAATCTTCAGATGGGACGGAACACTTATTTTTATATAAAGAGACTGAATAAACAGGAAAAGGTGAGGGTGTTTTTTTTTTAGTTGTTTGGGTTTTTTTTGTGGTTTTCAACCAGCAAGTTGTTTTCTGTTTCCTCCTTCAGGAGATGCTGTGTTAGACAAGGTAGAGCGTGGGCCAGCAGTGGTCACCTGTGGGGCCGATTTCTCTCTCTGGCCTCCAGCAGCTGCTCGGCCGAGCCTGCGCACTGCTCCGCTCAACTCAGTCCTCACAGCCTACCCTAAGAAGTTTGCTCAATGATATAAATGGCATTTTCTTTTTATTTAAACTGGCCAAAAGCAAACTTAATTTGTGTTAAGATGTGTGCTAAACTATCCCAAGAAAGTATTTAATCCAACGTTGTGAATGGAATCGCCGATATATACAAATTTTATTTCTTTGGCAGAACATTTGTGTTACTGGACATTTAATTTGCAAGTAGATAGAATACGTAGTCCAACAAACCATTTCAAATATCCTGAGGTCAAATTGCCTGTTGTGTTGTTTTTTTTTTTTTTCCTTCTTCAAACTGTTACATTAAAACTCTACCCAAGTCCCAAGTAAGGGATTCTTTCAGAATATCGCCTTAGAGAGATCAAGTTGAGAGGTGTGCCTTTTTTTTAATGGCTTAAAGTTTCAGAGGTGATAGAAATGAAAATCACACTACCAATTGGAAGCTCATTTTCTATGCAGCTTTTTAAATGTCATTTAGATACCATTCAGTGTCCATACCACACTTGCTTGTGTTTGCTTCCTCCTTTTGCCCTGATCAAGAACAATGTATATAACACTATCTGTCTGTAAAATACTTTTTTTTAAGAAAGCGTTTATATTTATATGACAGCTTGAACTGACAACATTGTGTATATAGATCATCTTGGAGTATTATTTCACATTGAAAAGAAGAAAAATATATTGATAACTATAGATGTTATGAAGAAGAGGTTATTTCTAGTTTTGTATTAAAAATCAATTGGATGAACTAAATCCCAAACAGGACACATCGTAGCAGCAGTTTTATGTCTTATTTTTACTGTTTATATATTTGAACGCTGCTACACCCAGTGATTTTCATTCCTGAAGTTTTCAACTAAAAGTTGGTGTCCTAGAATAGACTGTAAACTTTCAAAATTCCTCTTCATTGGTGAGACGGAAATACCGGTTTTCCTTGTGAATGAATATCCATAGTTGTAAGTGGAAGTTTATGATTCAGATTGGAACAAGTTGTGAATAACTAAGAGAAAAGCTTGCTGGCCGTGTGGGGAAATCCTGCGGGAGGAGCTGTGTAGACACTTTGAGGAGAACAAAGCTAATCGTTTCTTCTATCAAGCACTAATCAATATAGTGCACTCCTGGTTCTGTACTGTACTTTATATAAAACATATATGCTTTAATATTTTAATGTTTGTGCATTAATATTTTCAATTTGTTTAACCACTGTGCTGCTAAGATTTCTGCTGTCCCATTCCCATTTTTTTTCCTTTACAATTTAAAATGACTTTCTTCATTAAAAACTACGGTGATGAAAATTTTTATTTCACCTTGGATCTTGATCTTTAACATACCCGATTTTCACATCAGCCTAGAAAACTAACTGATGATATAATGTATGAATCTGCCCATGGAACTTTTCTCTTGAGTAAAAGAGAAATCCTAAGAGAAAACAAATGGAAAGCTGAGCTCTCTGCGTCTTGGATGTGTGTATACTAGATTCAGGGACATTTTCTCCTTTGTACAGATTTGGCACTGCCATTTGGCGCTTCCTCAAGACTTTTCTGTCGGAATCTTTTGTAAGCAAAGGGATCAAAAAATAAAACAGTGAAAGTACAAGTGAAAATTGAAAATGAAGTCATCTGACTGGCACCAAGGAGCGTGCCACAGGGGTGTGGCTGAGAATTGATCTTTCCGGGAGGTTTTCCCCTGCTCCTGCTGTCCGGGGGCATTGTTTGACTTGGGGAGGAAACGCACATGGGGCCCCAGCACCCCCTACTGGTCAGCTTGGGGGAGCAGGGCCGGGAGGTGGCCTGGCATGGGGGGTGGGGGTGGGGGTGTTCCCCCACCGGGCCCAGAGTTCCGGGAGGGTGGGGTCCCTCCTCCCAGGAAGGCTTAAAGCAAGTGGAAAAGCTTTCCTCTTTGGCATCTTGGTGGTGGCTGAAAGATTTTAAGCACTTTTTTCTTACACATCCTGTTCTAGAACATTTATTGATACTTGGAACTGGCAATCAAACCTAATGAGTATGTTGAGGCATTTTTTACAGAGCAAAAGCCATTACCAAAATGGTATATACTTACTTTTCTTCCCATTGCCAGTCAGGGAGATTTAAAATAAAAAAAACAACAACACACAGACACTCGTGTCTTATCACGAAAACTTTTAAGAGTTGTGTATGTTTCTGAGATGGTGGGGTGGGACCTGGGATTTAAAGGGTAAAACTTGAAACTACCTATTTTCATTGGTTGTTCAGCAGTGCCTAAAATGAGCTTTTACAGTAATGCAAATGCACTTTGACCTCGCGGGTTCAGTGCCATCTTGGGTAAGTCCTGTATTCTATTCTTCCTCCCTGATGAGTGTATCCAGTCTCCAGAGTGCAGGAAAGCACACACTCTCCTCTGGACAGATAAAGAACTTTAAGGATGTCTTTCTCATGCTGAAATTTAAGTTTTCTGATTACACTTTGAAAAATGTGTGTTTAAGATTAGTTTTTCATTGTTGCAAAGGTACGTCCTGCACATGATGCAACAGTTTCTACATAAAAATTGTGAACACTTCAGTTACCTGAAAAGAACAGATTCTTACTTCTCTACTCTTCTAAGTATAAGGGGAAAGCACTAGAAATTTGCATTATTGCTGTACTTTTAAGTCTGTCAATCACCTTAAGGTGTTTTATGGTGAACCATTTTTAAGAGTTGTCTTCCTTTTTTTTAAGAGACACTATGGGAAGTGATTTATATAAACCAAAAGTAGCAGCAAGTGCTTTACCATAGTTTGCCTAGCAGCCAAGTGGTTATAAAGACTCGCATATGCTTTGGTACACTGAAAATAGTAGCCATGTTCCTGGGAGCTTACATTGCATAAGTTGTGAGTTTGGAGGTTTTTCAAGAACTTGGAAAGCCTTTGTATTACAGATGTGCACGTGGAAACGTGTGTGGTGGCGTCCGCTTTCTGTTCCCTCCACTCGAAAGTGCCTCGTTTGTACATTACTCTGTGAAAAGCCTGATGCTTGCTTTCTAATGAGCAGTGAGAAATTGTTTAACTCATGTCATGTATCCTATAGTTAACCAGCTTGATAGTACTGAGTATATAATGTAAATACGCATATAGAAATTTGTAACTGTTTTTGTTACACCATATCCATGTAATTGGACATATCAGACGGTATCATAAGAATTTGTTTTAATGATTTTACTGCCCTGGAATTACCTGATTAAACCTATCATGAAACATAAAAGGACTTTTTCTTCCTTTTTTAGAATATGTCAAGGTATTGCATGAAGATGATTACTGGGGGAGGGCATGGCAATGGGAATGGACACCTTTAAACAAAAATCCCTGTGGAAGCCGGGCGCCGGTGGCTCACGCCTGTCACCCTAGCTATTGAGGAGGCTGAGATCTGAGGACCACGGTTCAAAGCCAGCCCGGGCGGGAAAGTCCGTGAGACTCTTATCTCCAATAAACCACCAGAAAACCAGAAGCGGTAGTGCTCTCGCCTTGAGCTGAAGAGCGCAGGGACAGCAGCCAGGCCCAGAGTTCAAGCCCCACGACCAACAACAACAACAAAAAATCCCTGTCTGCTGCTTCCTTGTTGGATCCAGATTTTTTTTTCTTTTTAGTTTGTTACTCAGTAACATGCTTATTGGTTTGTAAACGTGGGTAAGTCTAGATTCATTAGCTCTCTTAGACATGTGGCAAATGTTCCACCCAAGGCTGCTGCTGCTGTCGCTGTATGTGTGTGATAAAATCGCTGGTATTTACAAACATGAAAAATGATAAAACAGGTCAAAAGTCATAGTGTACATCTCAGTATCCAGATAATGGATTACTACATTACACTTGCATTAATTTGGGAAATCAAATACTTAACGTTACCATGAATTAAGAAATTACTGAGTTAAGAGATAGAGTCACTTATTTGCAGGTTTTCAGAGAGTTGCTTTCTGTTCTATCAAGTTGATACCTAGAGGTGAGCTCTGCTTGGCCATTACTATAGTGCTGCTCTGCCCAGAATGTTCTTAAAGAAACCTCAGTTGCTCTACCTAGTGTGAAAGGTGGGGTCGTTTCCTCTTCACTGCTCCAAAATGGCGGGTGTAGAGAGATCCCTGAAGTAGCAGTTCAGGACAATGTAATAAATATAAGGTTGCCTTTTTTTTTTTTTTTTTTTTGGTCAGTCATCAGACTTCCACTCAGGGCCTGGGCACTTGTCCCTCTTCATTTTGGTTGTGCATTTTATTCTTGATCACAGATCTGTGGCCGTCAGCAAATTAGGTTGAGCTGACGGTTTTCCTGAGCAGGGCTTCTACCCGTGCTTATCTCAGTAAAAGGAAAGAGAGCATTGAAAATGTGGCTCATGCTTGTAATCCTAGCTACTCAGGCTGAGATCTGAGGCTCGTGGTTCAAAGCCAGCCTAGGCAAGAAAGCCTATGAAACTTCTCCAATTAACCACCAAAAGCCGGAAGTGGGGCTGTGGCTCAAAGTGATAGAGCGCTATCCTGCAGCAAAAAGTCAGGGACAGCCCCCAGGCTCCAAGTTCAAGGCCCAGAACAGGCACCAAAAAAAAAAAGTGTCCACTCCAGAGCTGCCCTGACTTGGACATTCTCATCCTATCATGTATATTTCGTTGGATTTTTGGTGGTTAATTGGAAATAAGAGTCTCACAGACTTCTGCCCAGCCTGGCTTAACTGTGATCCTCAGCTCTCAGCCCCTGAGTAGCTGGCACCCCATGTATATTTCATGTATGTATTTGGAATACCTTCATCATCCACACTCTTTAGGCATTTATA